CACAATCCTTTAAGTAAATGTATTGTTTTTTTGAACGCAGTACATTTTGCCACAGGATGTTAATGTTGTTACCTCTGCTGTGAACAAGAACTGGAAATATATACAGTTAACTGTGTTAACTCTTTTGTGGTGTCTGTTGAACTTAAGATACTGCTTCAGGTATTAAGTAGTGAAATCCCCCTCTACACGGTCAAAGCGCAGAATGCTGTCATCCAGACCGAACAGGTCAATGAGCTCAGACGGTTCAGCTTTTCTTCCCTCTATGGGGAGCTCTGACTGGAGCTCATACAGAGCAGCCTGAGCACAACTCGAACACTTGTCAATAAAGGTTTGGAGCTGCATCAAATCATTCTGGGGAAAAAGAGAAACACACTTTATATATTACTATGTTCAGTAGTCACAACTAAACAGGGTCAAAGATACTTGGATTATTTAACTAATACCTTGTTTCTGTACATTTTGACCTTGAGCTAAATCTTCTGAGGAGATCTGTGTTGGTTGAGAAGGCGTAGACTGTCCCTCACTGCCCAGCCTAGTTTTAGTCCTGTTTGCATCCTCACCGTGGATCTCTGAGGAGTCTGCAGAAACTTGCTTGCTGTCCTCATATTCTTCCCCATTGTCAACACAAAGGCAGTTGGCCACAGAGAGGGGTGAGATGATGGAGCGCTGTGTTCTCTTCAGCCTCTCCCTTAGTGAGGCGCTCAGCCCAGAGCGATGCTGAGGAGTGGAAACGCTTCAAATGCTAATCAGCACCCCAGTATTTATGAAAGCAAGGATGGAGATTGTAACAATATTTAGTTCTTAGTGTCCTTCTCATACAGATCATTAGTTTCATTTTAAAGTCAACTTTTGCCCTTTATTAATTTTCCGAATTGGAAGCTAGAATCGGAGTTGTGAAACTCCAGGGCTGGAAGGACTCCAAAAATTTCCAGAGGATCTCAAGGTTTCCTGCTGGAGATTCACAAGAAAAAAAGGTAAGCACGTGAATAAACTTGAAAAGATCATAGATTCACTCAGCAAATACTCAGAGGCACTAGAGTACCCAGAACAGGCAAACACTCTGGCAAAGAGGTGATGACAGTAAGCTGCTCATATACTCCTATGGGGTGATGATGATTCTTCGCAGGTGTGGATAGTTGAAACGTGTAGGCAAGCCCTCCAAGACAGAGTAACCAAATGGCACCCTCTGGTGGACAAACGGTGGAACTGAAAAGGAAAACAAACTAACCCGACAAACTGGAACCCAACAGCTTCGTAGGCTAAACCTCCCCTGTGATTTCTAGAAATTATAAGGAGCTTATGATGACCTCACAAAAGCTATTTCCCCCATTTTACTCTAGGGCATGCATAAAAAAATTGACTAGTCAGGTTAATTAAGCTGAGTCAATCTGGACAAGTCCAATGCCCAAACGCGGTTTAAAAATAAAGAATTTTTACTGAGTAGAGTTTATTTTTTGTCATTGTTGACTTTACTGATAAAATATTATTAAATTCTACTCAGCGAGTTGATATTATTCAAACAAAAATGAAAATGAGTAAAATACAATTGACAAATATTTCATCTTTGATTATATTAACATAATAATATACCAAACTGCACACATAACTTTTTCATATAGAAATGACTAGTATTTATTTTGTTAAAGTTTATTTAGCTCCACTCACTGTTTTGAGTGTAAGAGCAATAGACATAGTTAAGACCAGACGAAGACTAAACAAGAAACTAAGGCTTGACATCCTCACTCTATCATGGAGCCTGGAATGAGTTGTGCTGGGATGGTTTCAGATGTGCAAATCTATCAATATTTTATCTGAATTTCAATCACCCAAGCAATGATCATCACAGTCAAATTGTTGACCCTTTCTTTTTCCTTAGTTCTTTTTAACCATATCTGGAGACAATGCAGGGCAAAAGAACGCATCACAACTGGTGACATGAAAGGTGAGTGCAGGTTTTAACACTGCATGCTGGGGCAGGCACTAGAGATGCACCAATCCATTTTTTCCCCCGACGCAACTGTGCAACTGTTGAATGGATGAACCGTATAATTTGCCTTGTAAGTGAAAGCATTAGCCTTTACATAAACATTGTTAAAAAGGACCACAGATGTAATGTACTTTATATTAATTATTAAAATATAAGCAGCAAAATGAAGCGACAACAGTTCCATGTGAAGTGCACTGGTTTGGATCTCCGATATCAGATATCAAATTACCATTATCCAATCCAGCTAATTATTCAATATTAGGGCCGGTATTAGATCCATGCATTAGGTTGGTGCATCTTTATCAGGCACATGTGAACATCAAGAAGGCTGAAGACTATATTCATGTCTGTGATTACATTTTTCTCAATTTTTCTCTTCAGAAAATTTTGGTAACAAAAGGTCCTGCTAACCTTAAAGGAATAGTACACCCAAAACATGATTAGCCTTCATTTTCTACTCACCCCCATGCTGAACAACACTCTGGAGTACTTTTTTGATATCTCAAATGCATCTGGAGATCTGGGAGGCTTCTTGCTGTCTGCTGACATTCAAATAATGGAGGTCTATGGTGCCCGAGACAGAAAGGTCCATAAAAGTCCACAAAAAACGTGTCAATATTCCTCTATACTGCTCGTCCAATGGTTTCCAAGTGTCCTGAGTGGGTAGCATCCAGAATTTACTCGAAACGAAGTCATTTAGAATGTTTTTAGAGCATAAACAGTAGTGTATAGGATTTCCTGAAAGCGCGCACATGCGCGATCACGACGCTACGGAAGCCGGCAGACCAAACCAGACGAAAGTGCGCATTCAGCTCGGCAAAGAACTCATGCTCTTCCTCAACACTGAAGTCCTCAGACATTTTTCTTTCGTTGTTTCTTTCTTTGCACAGGTAAACGGCACATTTCTTCTTCTACGCTTGCATTATTGGAAGAGCAGACGCTGAATGCGCACTTTCATCTGGTTTGGTCTGCCGGCTTCCGTAGCGTCGTGATCGCGCATGTGCGCGCTTTCAGGAAATCCTATACACTACTGTTTATGCTCTAAAAACATTCTAAATGACTTCGTTTCGAGTAAATTCTGGATGCTACCCACTCAGGACACTTGGAATACATTGGACGAGCAGTATGGAGGAATATTGACACGTTTTTTGTGGACTTTTATGGACCTTTCTGTCTCGGGCACCATAGACCTCCATTATTTGAATGTCAGCAGACAGCAAGAAGCCTCCCAGATCTCCAGATGCATTTGAGATATCAAAAAAGTAATCCAGGGTGTTGTTCAGCATGGGGGTGAGTAGAAAATGAAGGCTAATCATGTTTTGGGTGTACTATTCCTTTAAGACTATGCTGTAATGCCAGCATGCTGATTTGGTCCTCTTAATTCAATTCAATTCAGTTTATTTATAGAGCGCCAATCCACAACACATGTCATCTCAGGGCACTTTACAGTTCACCAGATCAGACAGTCAAATTGATTCAAAGATTTATATCTAAGGAAAAGCAGTTAATTGCATCGAATCATTGACTTGAATGCAATCCCTCACACTAAGCAGGCTTGTAGCGACAGTGGAGAGGAAAACACCCTTTGAACAGGAAGAAACCTCCAGCAGAACGAGGCTCAGTGTCAAGGAGATAAAAAAAAAACAACTGTAAAAGGCGGGCCTCTCCAGAAAACACACGAGGCGAAGCTACTATGAGAAAAAGTAGAGAGAGCATAACGTTAGCAGAATGATGAAAAAGGGGTCCCTGTGTCCTCCAGAAGTCTAAAGGCCAATTTATACTTCTGAAAGCCTGATTGAGGAGGTTTGGAAGTACAACCACTTGTACGATGCCTCAGACATGTTCTGGAAAATAAACACTCCTGCCGGCGCCGCCGAAGAAGTTCTCGTGACCATCCGCCGAAGTTCTCGCGAGTTCTCAAACAGGTTCCCCCTAGCGCTTTGCCGGGAAACTGCTGTGCATCCCTAGAAATTCCAGACAGACGTTGCAAAAGCATAGAAGCCAAACTGGTTCGCGACCAGACCCAAGCGACATTTGATGTGTGCAGCTGCAGAAATATAATCAGCCCTTTAGCAGCATACCGGTAACTATAGAGATGGCTCAGGATAACCTGAGCCACTTTAACTATAAGCTTTATCATAATGGGAAGTTTGAAGCCAACTCTAAAAAGTAGACATGGTGCCTGCCTCACAAACTAAAGCGAAGTGTGCTGTTAAGTACATTAGGAACAGTCATATCACTGATATAAGATGAGATGGAGCTTGGCCATTTAAGGTTTTTATGTGAGAAGGAGAATTTTAAATTCTATTTTGGATTTAACTGGAAGCCAATGAAGAGAAGCTAGGATAGGAGAGGTATGATCTCTCTTTTTAATTTTCATCAGAACTCTGGCTGTAGCATTTTGGATCAGCTGAAGGCTTTTAACTACAGTTTGTGGACTTCCTGATAGTAAAGAATCACAATAGTTCAGCCTTGAAGTAACAAATGCATGGACTAGTTTCTCAGCATCACCCCTGGACAGGATATTTCTAATTTTTGCAATATTCCGCAGATGAAAGAAGGAAATTGTAGAAACCTCTTTGATATGGGATTTAAATGACAGGTCCTGATCATAAACAACACCAAGATTTTTTTTACTTTATTATCTAAAATCAGTTTAATCCCATCCAAATGAAGTGACTGACTAAGAAGCTTCTTTTTCAAAGAATCTGGTCCAAAAACTATAACTTCTGTTTTCTCTGCATTCAGAAGGAGAAAGTTAAGAGTCATCGAGGTTTTTATGTCTTAAAGACATACCTGTTATGTAAGTAATGGGTTAGCTTCATCTGGATTTATAGACAGATATAGCTGAGTATCATCAGCATAACAGTGGAAATTAATCTGATGCTGTCGAATAATTCTGCCAATTGAGAGCATATGTATAGCAAAGAAAATTGGTCCTAGCACTTATCCCTGTGGTACTCCACAGGTAACCCTTGAGCATGAGGAAGATTTGTAATTAACGCGAACAAGCTGAAACCGATCAGATAGATAAGATTTAAACCAGTCTAGTGCTCTTCCTTTAATTCCCACAAAATATTCAAGTCTTTCTAAAAGATTATTATGATTAACTGTATCAAGTGCAGCTTTATACAGTTGATCTAACAAGACAACTCTTCAAAAAGTTCAAGCAGACTTGTTTGGCAACTACTTTCTCAAGAATTTTAGATAAGAAAGGAAGATTGGAAATAGATCTATAATTGTCCAAGTCATCTGGGTCAAGAGACAGTTTCTTCAATAAAGGTTTAATTACAGCAACCTTAAAAACCTTTGGTACATATCCCCGTTACAGAGATATATTAATCACATCTAAAATGAAGGATGAGATCAAAGGGAATACCTCCTTAAATAAACTGGTTTGAACTGGATCTAACATACAAGTTGAAGGCTTAAGGCGTACACTGTGCGATTTTTTTCAATCGTTGCACGCAGCTACTGATCAAACTGTACGACTAAACTGCAGGGTTAGCTAAAGCACTTGTACTGCACTTGTACTTGTACTGTCAGTAACCAAACTGAAAATTTAAGTCAAGCAGACATTAGGTGTAAGCAACCTAGTGATAAGCAAAAGTTATCACCTTATCTCATAGGAGTTTTGGACCTTTTTTTGCTAAATATTCAATAAAAAAGCAACCATTAAAACAGATAAACCTGTTGGGATCTTTTCTTTACGACAGTGTGCCTTTTAACCTCAGTACCATTGGTGTTTCCTTTAGCGCTCCCAGTTTCCTATTATATCAATCGTAATCCTCATGACCTTAGGAAGTTGTAAAACAGGATTAACCTTTACATCCACACACTCCTAATATGGCCATCCACATTGTTTGTGTTACTTTTTCTCTTTGTGTCCAGTTGGATGACAAACATGCCTTTTTTGACCTGGCAGAAGACACAAGGTGTTTTAACGTCTGTCAGCATAGTGCTTACACTGCAGGGAGTCTGCAACTAGTGAAGCAGTTGTGTGAGTGTGTGTGAGACTTATTGAGTGCTGTCCATGTGAACAAGTTGTGTAAGCTTATTAGTAACACCAGTGGTAAGAGGAGGAGATTGAGGTTAGTCTAAGCCTTAATCCTCGTGGACCTTATGCCTGCTACACAGGGAGCACGACAAAATCCAGGCCCCGCCTCCTCAGGATGGACACTGCACAGAAACGCATGTCACAACAACACATTCTTCCCTGCTTTCTTGTTTACCACTCTCAACTCTTCCTCTCTTGTTCCTTTGCCAGCAGGCGGGGGGAGGAAGAGGAGCAAGCTGTGCACACTGTTGAGTAGCTTCCCAGTCGCCATGACGACCTCACACCCCATCATCCTTAGAGCTATCTTCTTGTTGCCTCGGTGACCTGATCCCATTTTGTCTCCGTTGCTTCTGATGATCCGGATTGAGCCCTTAAGGGAGAACAATCCGGGAACAGGCATTATATTTCTTCTAAAAACAGCCTGCGGACGGGGCAGCGGGATCCGGGGGGAAGCAGACATGATGGGAATGCTGTGGGACTAGCACCAAAGCGTTGCTTGGAAACAGAAGCATGCCAGTACAGCAGATAACTGTGGTCCCCGCAAGAGAGTCGGCCGGAAATGGAAAGAGTGCTCCTCGGTCCAAAGACAAGAATGAGGTGAGAGCGTGACTGTTGGAGCTCAAACATCAGTAGAAGTCAGGCAAGCTGTGAGCACATTTTTTTTGTCTTAGAAATAATTAAACTTTGGTCAGATTTTAAAGCTTTATTGTTTTTTTTAAAGAATGCAAGTTTTTTTATTATTATTATAGAAATGTGAATAAATTACTATTACCTTACTCTTTAATATCACCTGCTAGTACTTTAATACTTGACTTATGACCGGCATGTGCTTTTATTTGCTCTTTTTATTTATAGTTTCCATGTGTCTATATTACAGTTTGTTAAGACAGCAAGTCTTGCTTTATCCTTTCTAAACTTAGAGGGAAATGGAACCAGTATGCCACAGTATGTCACAGAATTCCACATGATCCTGTGTTGCTTCATTTCCATTCTTGTAACCTCATATCATCCTACATTAAATTAAAAATGCATGAGGCTGCAAAGTGCTTTTGTTTGGCAGCAGAGAAGATGGAGTGAAGGTAGTGAGAGAAAGTTCATCATGTCTAGAGTGAAAAGATGCATTTCTGCTTTTACAAACAAATCTATTTTTCACCTTTGATACTCCTACTGATATGACTTAACTGATGTTAAGATCAGACTGTAGTCCAAGGTTGTGTGCTGTGTTTTGTTTTGTTTCACAGTTGCAACATGAATAATAGCTTCAGGCTTTATAGGTTTTTGAAAGTTCTAGAAAGAAGTCGGAAAAATCAGACAGTTGGATAATACAACTGTTACATTTTTAGGGCTTCCGTAAATGTACCAACAGGGTTTACCCTTTTTCAAGCAGGTCAATAGTCAGAGATTAAAACTATTTTTAAACAGACGAAGACAATTCACGGACAACAATGGACTAAAAATAACTTCCTGTCCTACTTCCCTGGTTATAGGTCTTTCTTTTCCCTCCAAATGTACCTGATCCCATTGGCAGGCTATTGAAAGGCTAAAGTAAAGGACCAAAAAATAGGAAAAATAAGTTTCTCAGTGAGAATAAACAAAATACATGCTGTGAGCATTTTTGTTCATGTTACGGTGTGGATCACCCAAACATTGTGGGAGGGAAAGTTCTAAGTGCAGTCAACGTAGCCCCTTTATGGTCAGGGGCCCAATTAATAAAGACTCATAAGACTAAAGGTAGCTTTTTGTGATACCATTGTAGAAAAACCTTGACATGTCTCAAATCTTAAGATTTTTTTTTTTTTACATCATGTAAAAGTTATTCATAAACACCATAGGCCTTAAATATGTTAGGACTATTGGGAAGGACTTTTAGCAAGCATCTTAAGCAGAGAAGATTGCAGTGACAGAGAGAGAACTGTTTGGCCAATTGAACACCTTAATACTAAAATAAATGAGGACCAAATTACACAAATATTAATGTCCAGATCAATAATGTTAATATTAATGTTATTTTAATAGGTAAATAACAAAAAAAATTAAAAATCAGAAATATGAAGAAGGGAATATTAAAAAAAATTACAGACAATTTTCAGTTTTAATAAAGTTTTTAAAAGGTACTTAATGGTAAACATATGGTATAATACATTGGAAAAAATTGTGTATATATATATATATATTCGTATATATATACACATATGCAAATAAATAAACAAAGTACAATAACATGCACTCTACATGGAGGTGACATTGGCTGTATTGTACAACACCATGTCAGTATTCATAAACCTTAATTGTGATGTAGAAATTTTCATGTGTGATGTCATGTCCTCTCTAGTTTTTGAATGGGGCACGAAGCGATTCTCACTTTCCAGGCTGGCGCATAAAAGCAGGAAAACAAAAGCATTTGCTTGGAAATGCCTCACAGTGTGTACCTTTGCTCAATGATCCTGGGACCAATCTACCTTCTAATGCTCCTCCATTATCCTCCCAGAAGAGTGCAGACAGAGGCACCGCTCCCCTGTGCACTTTAGATTTTTTTAAACCTTCTTTTATTTTGGTTGTTTTTTTGTCAAACGAAACAAGCAGGTGATCACAACAAAATGCTTAAGGGTGTGTGCACATTAATATTTGCAGTACTGCCATGCTCATTGTTACTGATATAAAAATTATCTATCAGTCTTTATAGCCAATTTCAACAATTTAGGCCACAATACTACAGTCAGGCAATGGGAACATTTTCAACATTTTCATTTTATTGTCCAACAAGAAGCACTTTATATATTTCCTGCAGAAAAGCCAATGTCAGAAGTGAAGGTTTCCATTGTGAGATCATTAAAGCTCTATTCTATTCTATTATCATACATGTTTTTAAGGAGATAATCTGTTTGCCTTGTCAGACTATTTTTACATGTGAATTTCAAACCTGGACTCTACATTTGGGCTATTTTCTACATACGCATCTTAAAATTCATAATTTTGGGTTGTTTGTTTGCCACGTGCTCTGAGTGGCTATTAGTGGAAAAGCTTAAGCCTGTGGAATATCATTTATGCAAAAAATGTTTCAAGAGTTCCCTTCCTTGGCTCTTCCTCCTGAACTTTTCTTAAACTGCAAAAATGTGCAGCTTTTAAAAGGCTAACATTTTTAAAATGCTAACATTTTTTGTACTAAAAAAGCCTGCAGTCCCAACTTCTTGGCTGCTTGTTTAAATGCGTCTGGAGGCTGAACCAGAATATATCCGTCGATCCACGCCACACCACCTAATCCCCCTCAGCACAAGCAAGCACATGTCCAGACACTGTAAAGTCTCTTCTGTTCAGACTCAGTGTGTCCAGAGAGGAGCAGAGACTCAGGTAAGAGTAAAACGTTTACTCTGAGAGTTTTATGCTGCCTAGTAGGTTGGAGGTTAGGTGCACTTAAAAGATGTGTTGAGCTTTTTAAGGTGAATTTGACGTATTCACTTGGTGTTTAATTGCCTTATACATTTGAAGTGCTGGTTGTCATGCACAGGTTTGCTGTTGCAGAGTAAACTAGGAAACACTTTGAATTATAGGAGGTACTTGTGCAGTTTGCAAAAATTTTCTGTGCAACTTTAATGTTTTGAGTAGACACAAAGAGTTCATCTAATGGTTTGGCTTCATGTGAAAAAAAAGCTTTTTTTAATTGATTTTTTTAATTTGGAGCTCACTCCTTCAACCTTCACTCTGTACCAAGAAAAGTGAAAACAACATTTCAACCTGGAGAGACTCACACAGAAGAGATGCGATTAGAAAATTTCTAATTTATCTATACAGGTAACGCAATCACCTTCTTCATCTAAGGAAAACCAGCTGATTGCAAGGACTCACTGACTCTCTGCAATCCCTCACACCAGGCATGCATTTAGTGATAGTGGAGAGGAAAACCAAAACCAAGCTCAGTGGGAGCTGCCAGCTACCGAGGCCGACTGAGGTTCAAGGAGACAGAAGCAGATAAAGACATAACAAAATAAGTTCTTTGGCGCGCATGGGCCCTGGCAGAAGACTTTGATGAGGCGAATCAACGTAAGCTTGGAGGAGTAACCTAGAAAAGGATTAGAGTAGTTTTCCCTTGGGGCCCGGACACTGGTGGTGGAATAAGCCAGAGGGTGAGTGAGACTGGGAATGAAGGAGGAGATTGGGAGGAGGTGGGTGAAAGTTCGCTTGTATACTGGAGAGAGAAGCTGGGCAAATGGCTAGTGAGGGAGATGTTGTATGATGATTGGCTTTGGAGAAGGTGTGGCCCCCGAGCTGATTGGCTGGAGACATCCCAGGTGGTTCAGGTGAAGCTGATAAGAGTCTTCCAGATAGAATTTACAATTAAGCTTCATTTCCCTGGAGTCATTTTGGATTTCTCCTGAATTTCTCTGACTAGAGCAAATTTGGAAATTAAATAATTATCTTATCTTCACAACGTGACAACTGCTGGATTTACTTGAGGATGAAACAAAAAAGCACGTTCATTTTATAACTTCAAAGCTCTGTGCTTTAACCATATCATGGCTTTCAGTTGACTGAAGTTAAAGAAAGAGCAGGAATCCAGAAATCTAACTAAAATGTTTAACAAACCAAAAACCATGGAGACATCAGGGGAAAAACTAGCCTGAGGAGCCACCGGGAGATGAGCTGAGTAGACGAGTACAGCAATGAGAAGGAACCAGCACTGAGTGACTGCAGAGGTGGAGTATTTAAGGAGAACAGAACAAAGGATGGACTAATGAGCTGAATAAGGAGCAGGTGTGGGTGGAACTGGCAAGAGGGAATCCAAGGGGGAAAGAAAACAAGCACAAGGGGGCAACAGAGAGTAACTAAAGAATGCTTGAATATCATGGAAAATAAAAACAAAACAACTGATAACAGAAAACTGAAAACTCAGAGTCAGAACAAATGGGAAGAACCATAACAAATACAGGATAATGAACTGTTTATTTCCTTTCTTTTGGATTGATTGTTATAAATCTGTGACATACAGCACTTGGCGTTGAAATGTATAAATTGGTACAATATGCAATGTTGTTGGCTTTCTGTAGTAATAGTCAGGCTGTTTACTGAAAACAACAGTTGGCAAAACGTCACTAGTTTTCTGACTTGCAGCTCAACTGTGTTTTTTGATGAACAAAGTGTAGAGGAAAACAACATTAGTTTCAGAATCATTACACCCCCAATAGATATAAACCAACCTGGTCCAATATAAAAAGTTTTTCATCTAAGACCTAACAGTTTGTTGGCCAACTCTTGATAAGTCTTCTACATCACTGTACTCCAGAGGCGCAGCCAGAAAATGTTTGTAAGGGTGACCAGGTAATAACCAATGTACACTGAGGGGTGGCCAGGCAATAACCAATGTACACTGAGGGGTGGCCAGGCAATAACCAATGTACACTGAGGGGTGGCCAGGCAATAACCAATGTACACTGAGGGGTGGCCAAAGGCAAATAGGCACCAGAACCTCAGGGTCAATCTACACTGTTCCAACAGAAAAATTACCAAGCAAAACATCCATATTTCTAAATAAAGACAAACTATACTTTCCAACAACATTTGCTAACAAATAGATGCATATATTTAAACATCTGTGCTTTCTAGATGAAAGGTGAATTGGATAAAATTATTTTAGGCTTGAGTTTTGGGGCGAACATCTTTTTCATAGTCATTACTTACCTACTTCTGTCAATAATAATTTTGCATAAAATGGATATTTACAAGTACTAATATCTACATAATTGATTATTTAATATGTTGTTATCAAAATAGTTTTTTATTTTATTTATGATTTCACCAAAGACTAGATGACATGCAGAGACACATTTATTTTCTCTTTACCACATATACGCAAAATCTAATTCTGAAAAGAGCATGAGTACTTATCATCTTTAAGGTTAGTATATTGGTTTACATTGTTAACCACAGTGTTTTTGTCATCAAGTACTTGTTAATAANTCTGAAAAGAGCATGAGTACTTATCATCTTTAAGGTTAGTATATTGGTTTACATTGTTAACCACAGTGTTTTTGTCATCAAGTACTTGTTAATAATAATAAGGGGACCGGAGGGTGTGTTCCAACTATCAGGGAATCACACTTCTCAGCCTCCCCGGAAAGGCCTATGCCAGGGTGATGGAGAGGAGAGTCCGGCTGATTGTCGAACCTTGGCTGCAGGAGGAGCAGTGTGGTTTTCGTCCTGGCCGTGGATCAGTGGACCAGCTCTACTCCCTCTGCAGGGTGCTTGAGGGTTCATGGGAGTTTGCCCAACCAGTTCACATGTGTTTTGTGGACTTGGAGAAGGCATTCGACCGTGTCCCTCATGCTGCCCTGTGGGGGGTGCTCCAGGAGTATGGAGTCGGGGGCCCTTTACTAGGGCCCATCCGTTCTCTGTAGAAGCGGAGCAGGAGTCTGGTTCGCATTGCCGGCACTAAGTCGGACCTGTTCCCAGTGCATGTTGGACTCCGACAGGGCTTCCCTCTGTCACCGGTCCTGTTCATAACTTTTATGGACAGGATTTCTAGGCGCAGCCAAGGACCGGAGGGGGTCTGGTTTGGGGAACAGCGGATCTCGTCCCTGCTTTTTGAGGATGACGTAGTTCTTCTGGCTCCCTCCTGCCAAGACCTACAGTGTGCACTGGGGCGGTTCGCAGCCGAGTGTGTAATTCGGGAGAGGCTCAGTGTAGAGCCGGTTCTCCTCCACATCAAGAGGAGTCAGTTGAGGTGGCTCGGACATCTTCTTTGGATGCCCCCTGGACGCCTCCCTCGGGAGGTGTTCCAGGCACGTCCCACCGGGAGGAGGCCCAGGGGACGACCCAGGACATGCTGGAGGGACTATGTCTCTCGACTGGCCTGGGAGCGCCTAGGGCTTCCCACAACAGAGCTGGAGGAGGTGTCAGCGGAGAGGGAAGTCTGGGAGTCTCTGCTTAGTCTGCTGCCCCCGCGACGCGGTTCCGGATAAAGCGGGAGACAACAAGTGCGAGTACGAGTACTTGTTAATAAATGAAAATTAAAATGTTTTGAATTTATATTAGAGGGAAAAATGGTAGAAGTGGCCACAGGGGTGGCCAATGATTGGCTAAGGGTGGCCATGGCCCCCATCAAGCTCCGCCCCTGCTCTACTCCCCTCCTCTTTGCTAAAAAAATAAAATATATATATAGTACTCAACTTGAGTACTGAGCCTTTTCTTTTCTGTCTTCCTACAGTGTGTTTGAGCTTAAGGTTTGAAAACAGAATTTGTGACATCCTTAGGATGTTTTAGTAGAGAGCAGAAACTGTGGTTCTATCAATAACAGCTTGTCATCTAAGTCAGGGAGTGTTGGCCTAGTGGTTAAAGCAGTGCACCTGTGCTCTGAGAAGGTTGCAAGTACCCAGTTCGATCCTCACAGCCTGCACTCTGGGTTCCTGAGCAAAACCCTGAACCCCACACTGCTCCCCGGGTGCCACACAATGGCAGCCCACTGCTCCCCAAGGGAATGGGTTAAATGCAGAGCTAAATTTCTCCATTGTGAGATCAATAGAGTTAAATTATTATATGTCCTGAAGCTGCCCCAGACCAACATAATTTTCTGAAAGATTTAAAACCAGATGTAATTAGATGCTCACCTACTAAAAAAATTAAAATGAATTTCCAAAAAATGTCCAGCTTTCTAGATACTCAAGGAAACTGGGCATAGACAATCATTTAATAAAGTTACCTGGACAATGCATTAAGAATAAAATTAAAACGTATAGATGTGAAGTGGAGTAAGCAGTGCTGAGGAGATGTGTCTGGATTTAAGGGTTGGAAGTGATTCCATATGACTATGAGATGGATTGAGGAGGACCTGAGGAGGACCTGACAGATGGTGTGGTGACATGATAGACGCATCATTTGAACTGAATACACCACTAAGTGAGGATCCAGTGGAGTCACTGTTGGACCGAGGTGATGTGTTGAATGAAGAGTGCAGCTCGGAATGATCCTTGCTGCAATGTTTTTAAGGAGCTGTAGCTTGTGGATGTTTTTTTTTTTCTTTTGATAGACTTAGACATAGAGAAACTGTATTGTCATTTTGTATATACTGTGCATACAAAATGACAATGAAGTTTGTCTAAATTTAGTTGCAGCTTACAACAGTGTAATGAGATTGCAGTTGGAGATAAACATTACCAATATAAAGTCCAGCATTCATTAGAATGTGAACATTGTAGGAGAAAAAAGAAACAGTTTAAATAATGGGGCAAAAGGGCATTTATATGAAAAAGTTCAGTGCAGTGCAAAAACACTGTAAATGTGGTGCAAAATGCATTTGAGTTGTGTGCTATTTAAAATGATTATAAAGGTTCAGCACGTTGGTAGTGCAAATAATGATGTTATTGATGTTCTTTTCCTGAGAGGATGAGGAGATAGAAGAGTTATAAATGTTGATGAAAAAACTTTAATTTAGTTTGGTGAAGATTTATTTCCAATTAAGAGGACTTTAACTGTATTGCTGTTAAGTTTTAAGATGTTGGAGTTGGTAGGATATTTTATAGTTTTAATGAGTGTATAGTTTGGAAGTCAGCGGTGTAGTAGTAGAAGTGCATGTTAGGTTTTCTCAAGTGTAACCAAAGGACTGTGAATTTAAATAAGGGGGACCCTAGTACTGAGTCTTGGGGTACACCTGAGGAGACAGAGGAATTTAGGGAAGGAATGGATCAAGTTGGGGGAAATGCGAGTGGTGGAAAAGATAGGAGGTGACCTAGTGAAGGGCAGTTTGGAATATACCAACTTAGATATGTCTGTCAATGATGGCAGTGTAAGAAATTATGTCAAAAGCGTCACTTAACTTCAGTAGGATGAGTATGATTAGGAAATGTTCCATTTTTAGCTGCTAGCAAGAGGTTATTTGTGGTATATATTGAAACTGCTTCGGTTCTGAAGCAAGATTAAATAGTTCGGTTTATTATGAGTGAAGAGAGGGAAGCTTAGAAGCAACATTTCCTGGAAGATTTTTTGAAAAAATTATGAGGTTGGATCTTCATAGCAAGTTATTAAAATCAGTTTGGGAAATATAGATCCGTGAAAGGGCTGCTTCTAAATTGCTCCTGAACAATTTGTCTCTACAGTGTTAGTTTTTTCCCCATCTGGCTTTATGTTTGTTTGATAAATGACAGTAATTGAGGGGAATCTGTGGTGTGGGTTTGGACTCTTAAGGTTAGATTTGAAGTTATATTTTGAACCTGTTAAAGAGTGAAATGTATGTTAAAACCAACCAGAGAGTTGATCTATTTTACCATCGCTGTATACTGTAAATTCTTTGTAATGATCCAGAGTGAAGTAAAAGTATGTTGAAGTAATAATCTAAGTCCTGAAACCTAAACCAATGCAGCGAGAAGCTGAGGCCACAGTTGATCAGGCAATCGTTGGGCTGAAGGTGTAAGCGTCAAGTTTGGGCGATCACTGTTCTAGATAAAGTTTCGTAAGTTGCCTTTAAATAGCCACACACTGATGAGCAACGTGGTGCCCCTGGAATGGGACAAACAGCTAATAGGATTGCTGGCCTTAGCCAGGATCACAGTGAAATTGTGAGGACATGTGACCTCCGGCGTTGAATTTTAAAACAGTAAATACAGCAGGATCAGGCAGCACACAATACTGCAGAAACATGAGGTGCTAAAAAGCAGCTGGATTAAACACTGTCGTCTTATGTTTTTTAATAAATTTACTTATCCAATTATGAATAGCTTATGGATTCTGATTTCATTTTTAAATATAAACCTTTTTTTTTTTTTTTTTTAAGAAAGCTAAGAAATTGGGTGTAGTTAAAGCAACAAATTTAGTCTTCTGGTTTGTAACACAGTAAGATTATTTTAATACTCGTATTAAGAATTACTACTGACTCTTGATATTTTAGTATTTATGTCAATGATCACACAGACAATGTCCTGAGTTTAGCTCCATCCATTTAAAATGTTTAATCTTATTGTGAATCTGAGTTACGGCTAAATTGTGGTTGAATGGCCTGTGGTTAAATAGCTCTATCACAAGTCAGGAGACTTATCTAAAGCATTCACCTATTCACACACACAATGATGGTGGCAAGCTATATTCTAGCAGCAGGTGAAGGCTCACTGAGAGAAGTGAGCAGTAGGCTCCTCCAGGCCCTCTGACCACCATCAGTTGGCAGTTAGCATGATGTGTCTCGGGCCAAGGACACAACTCTAAAAGCCAGAATCGGATTTGCATCCGACACCACTTAAAACCCCGACATCACCTTTATTTGTCCTTACATTATTCTAGGATCCAATGGTTTTCTGTGTTTTGTTCTAATGGCAGGGAAAGAAAGCTCCTGGGCGCTCAGGCAGCCGATCCAGCAACATCTCCAAGGTAAGCTGCAGATATTAACATTTCTGTTTCCATGCTCATCTGATCTAACAGATTATTTTAGCATTAATGTGCAGATGGATTCTCTAAGGACACACTGTTGTATAATTAGTCATGTTTTCTTTATTTTCAGATATTTCACATCAAATCAAAGAAAAATATGTTACACAACATATCTCTGTAGAATCAGCACATACAAGGTCACATATCTAAAAATTTTACATAACATCACATGTATTACTGCACTACTGAATCATCCACATGTCTTTGTGTTTTCCCTTCAGTGAGTCAGATGCTCTTTCAACCTCTTAAAAATCACAATTATCAGTATTTCAGGGTTCTTTGAGTTTTTTTCTTTCTTTTCTAAAAAACATATGCTACAAAAAAAAAGGTTTTTAGGTCTTAAACCCCTTCCTTTTCTTATGCCCACTTGTTTTGAAAGGAGTGAAAAGCATCCAGTAAAAAAAAAAAAAGCTTAAAAGGCTTTAAAAACTATTTATCATGAGCTTTAAAAGAGATCACTAGATAGTCTGAAACCTTCACAGATATCTAGGGTGGTTTAAAATGACTGATGTGCTTACAGCCGTTTTAAAAACGCATTTCAATCTTTTTCTTCTTTCAGGATGTAAAGAAAATGCAACAGCTTAAACTTAATTTTTAATTTTAATTATTAAAGCACATAAAGGTTGCAGGCTTTAATTTGCCACCAGTCATCATTCATTTCCACAAGTTTTGCATGCAGGCTAACATATATGAATGCTTCCCTACTGATTTTTGGGGTATTTTTCATGTAGGGATTTTCACCTCTAGCACACTTTTTTGTAGCCAGTAACATCCTGGCATTATTCAGACTGTATAAGAACCAATCAAAATATGTTATTTAAACTGGTTGCATCCTGGCCACAGGCCGGGCTTTTTAGCAAATGTCAAACATGTAAAACTAATTTTAATGTTTCCATTTGGATCAGGCTGTGATGTGTGTTTACGGATCATTATGCAGCTAAAAAATCGATCTGTGCCAACCTCCCAATCAACTGGTTGATGTTTCCAATTTAAATGTGACAATTGAAAGGTGATCTTATTTTACATTACTCTTTTAACTTCCTGAAGTGCATCAGAGCTTCAGCATGATGCTATTTCTACCACGCCTGCAGTGACAGTGTTAAAGCATAAATGATGAACTATGCTATTCTTGCGTGTGCTGGGTCAAGCTAAGTGGTTTCAATCAAATGAAATGCTTACATTGGAAAACAAAAAGCACCTGATAGATGAACATGAAAAGTGTGTGTTTTCCCTGGAACATGATGGAAAAAATTATCCCAGGATTGGTGGAGTTTTATGATACTATGGATAAATGAAAATCCATGAATTAAAAACGTGTGCTTTCAATGCCAGTTTCATAAATTCCCTGATTATGTTTCTAATAGATTTCTTATGTATCCACTTCTCAACAGCTCTCTCTGCTCCAGGAATTGCAAATAAATATAATCATCCCACAACATATAATACACTCATGAAGCAATTAACCTGACAGACTGTTATGTTTGAAGGGAAAAAGCCTCTTTAAAAAGACAGTTTGTTTTATTCTTTGTTTTTCAGGCAAGCAATGCAGTTTCAAGGGCATCGATAACACCGTCTGCTCAGGACATATGCAGGTAAGACAGACAGCTCTCTGATTAACTGTTACTTCACATAAAATCAGCTTTTTGCAGCTAAATGGCAGTGGTATGTTAAAAACAAAAAGTCAGGAAAAGTCTAGAGGATAATAACAGCTTGTTAAAGCAATAGCACGTGTTGTTTGAGTCCAAGGAACGCCTCCTTGCAGCATAAAGAATGCATAAACAATGTAAAACTGAAAACAGTAAACTATGTGTGTTGTGTGAGTGTCTGAAGCTTCACTGTCATCTACCATCCTCTCTTCCCTTCATGATGATTCATTACCCACAACAGAGACTCAGTTTCTATTTTTTCAACATGTGCTTTCTATTGTTTTCTTACATGCAGTAAAATGGTAATTTATATCTCACCTATGCTTCCCTTAAAGTAGGCATCAGGAATACTTCAGGCTTTTGCTTATTTCACAGAAGAAAACAGAATCCCCTCAGTAGAGAAAAACAGTTCTACTCTATCTTTGAATAGTAATGGTGACTGACTTCTAAAAATAACTTAAAAAAGAATCAATATTAATTTTCCAGATTGTTCTGATTCAATGATTCGGTTGTGTGAATAGCTTTGGGATTTGTGCCACACCTCATTGGATACTTATTTCCCCTTCTTTCAAATTATGAACCAGAAATAAATGAACAAATTATTTATTTGGTGTTACAATCAGATAATCTAACCCAATGATGTTTTCATTTGTTTTATCTCTACTCATTGCATATTTAAAAGTGTGGTTACAGCAACCTGTAACATGCATGATTCCCACCCCTGTGTGGATTGCTAACCCAGTATTAGATGAAGCTAAATTATGAAGTTGTTGTCTATAAATGTAACTTTTTCATTATATCAGAGTTTTTATTGGGATTTTATGCAATAGATGAACACAGAGTAGTGTAGAGTTGTACAATGGAAGGAAAAATATAATCTATAAAAAAGTCAATGAAAAACTGAAAGCTGAAAAGTGCTGCTTACATTTGTGTTCTGACCTCCAAAGTCTGACAACTCTAAATATAATTAACTGCAAACAGCTACCTTCAGTGGATGAGGCCTCAAAGGTTCTCAGAGCAGAGAAAGTTGAGAAACTGTTTTAAACAAAGTTAGGTTATGATATGATATACCAAGCGTTGAACCTAAGTGTTACTGTAAACTGGCAGGGTGGGCGGGTAGAGCATAAGGCAAAACAGGACATCACCAAAGTAAGAAAACACATTCAGTCTTGGGCGTAGTTCACCTCAGAGCGGGGGGCGGGGGACTCTATGCACACTTCAGTTTCCAGATATTTATTTGCAAATATAAAGAATTACCCAGTTGATAATTATGTGATTTTTGTTTTTCACATAAAATCCCAATAAAATCTTTTAACGTTTGTACCTGTAATGGGAAATATAAGGAGAAACACTATTTTAAGTGCTCAGTTTAGAACAGGAATGCCAAGGTTTGGTCCTCAAGAGATATTTTTTGGCCACCTTTGGATGCATTTGGCCTCCTGAATCAAAGAAGTGGCTCGTTGCAAGTCCTCAGCAGAGCTGAATTACAGCTAATAGTGAGTTGGTGCAGGAATGTATGTAGGACAGTGGATCTGCAGGACTGGACTGCATGCAGCCCCGCTGTGGTCTAGTCAAGAAAAGAAGACAGACTTTTTTTTTTTTACTTAACACTAAAGTGGGGCTCTAAAACCTGTGAAATGGGACCCTAAAACATGCAATCATGGAGTAAATTCTGCTGTTTCAGTAATAGGTTTCCACTATAGTTCCCAAGAATAGTTAGTGTAGATGCATGAAATCAAATATCTCAAAAGCCAAGAAACACAAATCTACAGAATATTTTTTTCTTCAGTTCATGTTCACTCCAGTGCAGTCCATTCTGTTTTTGCATGTGTTCAATACCATTCAGTCTTTCCCCATTCTGTTTCATTTAATGTTCATATCCATTTGCATCTGTGTCTGTGTGTTTCTGTGCATAGTTCTGGCCAGCTGACCCGCTTAGATGATATTTCTGAATCACACAAGCCCAACAAGCACAAACAAAATCCCTCTGCCATGACAGTCACCAGCACAGCCCTGAGCTCATCTGCCCAAGTCCAGAAAAAACATGTGAAGAGACGCCACCGGCGCAAGAGGAGCAGCTGCTCCACTTTAGACTACGTAGATCGTAACGCCAAACAGGAGCAAAGTGACCGCAGCCTCAGCTCTGACCAGACTGAGCTGTGTGAGAAGAGGGAGCGCTCCTTCAGGACCCGCAAACAGGTTCCTCCTAGTCTTCGGTGCTCAGGTGCTCCTGAGTCAGACTCCTCCTCTGAAGATGAAGCTTGGCGTGAAACCCGCAGCTGGAGCAAAGAGAAAGCTCGACGGGCTCGCCGCCGCAGCATGAGCAGCCGGGAGAGAGATGCAGATGGGCACAAACCAGAGGAAGACAAAGTGGAGATAATGGAGCTGCAGTCAGTGGATTCCGATGAAGGGAAGGAGAACCAGCCTCTGGTGGAGGACAGTGGTGGTCTCAAGAAGCGACACAACATCAGGGGCTCAATAAAGAGCCAAATTTCACACAGTGAGAGGTCCAGAAGCAGAGAGAAGGAGAAGAAGAGCTCTAAGTCTCGAAGCTCAAGGGGGAGTTCCTCGCTGGCAGAGGACGGTGAGGAGCTCATCACCAAGAGATACCAGGAGAGAGGGGCAGGAGAGGGGGACATGTCAGTGCCCATCCCACAGAACCACTGCGGGGTTAACGGGGGCACAGCGGGACCTTGTTCAGATGACTCTGAGTTGGAGGTCTGCAGGTTAGTGTGTGAACGTATGAAGATACATGCAGCCTAAACAGGAGGCAAAAAAACTACATCTGAAAAAGAAGGCTGCATATCACTTTAACACAATCAACAGATTTTCTGTTTATGCTGAAAAAAAATTACTCCCACAGAATGATGCTACCTCCACCATGTTTCACTGTGGTTAGAGGAGGGGGAGCTAAATGCAGCGCAGTTCTGGATAAAAACCTTCAAAAGATTTTTGACCAAGGTGGAGGTTCAAAAGGAATATGACCCAAAATCATGTGTCAAACTTCAGACCCGTGGGCCAAATCCAAGCAAATCAAGGGCAAATAAGGCATATCATATAATGTCATAATATTTCTTTTAAAGGGAAAAGGTGGCAAGAACAGTTCAGTAAGTTAGTATATTTAGACTATAGCAGAGCAGTGCACTCTTTGTAAATGAAATTATTAAATCAAAAGTTTTTATTTATGCAACCAGCTCCCATAAAAAAATAATCAAGTGGCCCGATATAAAATGAGTTTGACACCCCAGCGCCAAATAAAAGCCATAGCTGGAGGAGTCTGTAACCAGAGTTAAAAGTTTGTAAAAAAAAAAAAAGTTATGTTTTTTTTTTTATGTAATGACTGAGTTGGAGCAAAAATGCTATTCTCTAACCAAGTGGTCTCTGAAACTCTTAGCTTCTTCTCTGGCCCTGCATACCTGGATCAAATGGCTAAACTCCCTGCTTTTCATGTAGTCAAGCATTGAGGTAGTCACATCTAAAGATTGGTGGAAATCAGACCTCCAGGACTGGACTTTGAGATTATTTATCTATGTGGACAAATCTGTCAGACACACCTCAAAGGACTTGCAACTATAAGTGCTCTGGAAGATGTTTCCACCAAGTGTTTAACTCAGGGGGAGGGAATACAAACACATCTGTCACTTTTCTGATTCTTTGTTGGAAATGTTAAAAACTATCCAATATTTTCATCCATTTCAGAAGTTTGCATTGCTTTTTATTTGTGTCTTTTACAAAATAAAATTATCAAATCGACTGTAACTAGACAACATGCCAAAACATTCAGCGTGTGAAACACTTTTAAAAGGTATTATAGCACATGTCCATTGTGTGTAGGATCTGCCACTGTGAGGGGGACGACGACTGCCGGCTGATTACGCCGTGTCGCTGCACAGGAAGCCTGAGCTTTGTACACCAGGCCTGTCTCAACCAGTGGATTAAATCCTCTGATACACGCTGCTGTGAACTCTGTAAATTCGACTTCATTATGGAAACCAAACTCAAACCTCTAAGCAAGGTACATTGGACCCTCATGAGGACTCAGTTTAACCATAAACATCTTTTTTAATCTACCTTTTATCTGTCTCTTTCAGTGGGAGAAGCTGCACATGTCGAAGAGTGAGAAGAGAAAGATCTTCTGTTCGGTTTTGTTTCACCTGATAGCAATAGTTTGTATGTTGTGGTCTGTCTACATTCTGGTCAGGAGAACCACTGATGAGATCCGGCTCGGGAAGAACGGTCAGTGCATTTCTATCCTCCATCCTCACACATCAGAGCCATGCAGGGGGAAATATTGCATAACCTCATTGGTACCCTGTGCTGCTTTCCTGTTTTCTATTTAAAGCAGAGAATAGTTAAAATAATGAATTGCAGAATGTTTCATCATTACTTGGCTGAAACATCCCCTTTACTTATTTTCAAGTATTTTATTTTTGCTTTTCTTAAGGTCCTTGAGGATTTTTTTTTAGACCTCAGTTTTAACCTATTCTCAGCTCTACCCAAAAGTTTGAAACAAACTGGATGAACTGAATAAAATTATTATGTTTTTAAAGCCTTGAGAATAAGAATCATTTTTTGTGGAGTATTTATAGCCCTTAAAAACAGGATAGGGTAACCTTTTCACCTGAATGACTCTGAATATATGAGCTTAAATATGGTTGTCATCATTATTTGTTCTTCTAGATGTGTTTAATATGTTAAACTGTGATTGTGCCGTTCAGTGTGCAATACCAGTAAAATGTTTGAACCCTTTCTAATGACTTTGATGGGAATTTGATGATGAAGGACCCCTGAAGTAAAACAAGCTTTTTACTGGTACTGAGAAACTCCTGTGGTGGTAAAAGTTAATCTGTAAAATATGGACAGCAGTTCGAAGGCCAATCGTTTCTCTTTAATACGCAAAGAGTTTGGTTTTCATATCCTGAGGCTATTCTGTAACCTTCACAGGTTTAGATGCCTCTTTGATTATTTTTAAATGCAGATTTTGCTGTTAAAACAAAATCCGGTTGTTTTTATACCTGGAACAAATGTATAGAGCAGGCAGTTAAATATGCAGAGCTCAGTCCAACATGACATTTCCAAAAAACTTAAAAAGATGATCCCTAAACTAAAGACAGAAAACTCGCTATCACTACATCATTATTTGGGGACATCAATGTTTCTCCCTCAGTAACAGTGCACTAAATCAAATGTAAATTTTCAGATTTATGTAATTTTATTTCCTAAATCCCTTTTCATTTTTTAGATAATTTTAACACAAACCTTTTAAATAAACTTGACATTATGTAGTATTCATATGTTTAGTAAAGCTTATTTACGTACAAAAAATACATGGATTTCTGGTTTATGTATTTAGAATTAAGAAAATATTTTTTATTTATTTGAAATACATTAATGTTATTGTTTGAATTGTTTAATAATCTGGGTTACCTTTATGCATCTCAAATAATAATAATATCATTAAATTATTACAATGTATTTTAAATCAATATGCTTCATTATGCAAATGAATAGGCATCATGGAGGTTTTATTTAATAGGTTTGTGTTAATTTTATCTTTAAAAAAAGTAAATAGTAATTTGTAATGTATTAAAATGACTTAAATCTTAAAATTTGGGTGAAATATTTCTTTCAATGCAAAGAAGTGTAGACTAACCCTGAACTTTATGTCATTGAACCTATTTTTCAAGTAATAAAGCACTCAGCTTGCTCTGCTCTTAGCTGAATTACTCACCTTAAGCAATATCAAGCTGAGTGTAAATGTCCCTGGTTCCGCATTTCATAAATATAAAAACTGTTTCAAAGCGACTTAAACTTTTTCTATTCTAAAATGTCTG